CTCCTCCAAGTGAGTGGTGTTTTTAACGGGATTAATAATATTATAGCCTATACAATACAATATTTTACACTAAATGTTTAATATGGAATAGAGGTAAAAAATGATCCAATAAAAATACAGCAGATTTCACATAAACATCATGATCATCATCCTTGAAATGTTATACTTACTCTTTTTTTTGTGCGTGACTGTGATGAATATCAAGTTTCTGTATCTGCCCGTCACAAGTTATTTTCTCACAGTGTTTTTCTCTGATGTTTGTCTATTTTAGTTCCCTGCAGCCGCCTGTATTGATCTTCTATTTATTAGACCGGCTCAAAAAGTGCTCTTGTAAACAGGAATCGATGCTAACATGTTTGCTTTTACACAATACCCTTTTGCAATGTTATTTGGCTGCATCACCGCCTGTGTATTCAGAGATATAAGCACATAAGGGACATAGACACTATGCTCCATGGGTTCCTCCTTAGGCAGAATTTATGGGGTTAAAAAAAATTGATGGATTAATAGAGCAGGAAATAATTTTTCCTTTGGCTCAGGGAATAAATATAATATCCCCTTGGCCAGTAATTATTTTGGAATTGGAAAGTAATGACGCTCAGTTTTTCTGCAGGAGTCTGGAGTCAGCATTTGATACCATCTTGTATCTCCTGCTTCCTGCAGAGTCCCCATTGATCTCTGTTCAAAAGACCACAACAAGCCATGAAAGCATTTCAGGACAGTCGCCAGGGCGCGCATATCCTAAAGTGGTTATGATGCACGAGGCTTTTAAAGGCCAGGGTTTCTCCAACTGCATGTCTACATGAGGAATAAGCAAACAAACCTGAGACAGGGATGGTTACTAGGCAGAAATGCATCATGGGAGCGTCTTGTATCAGCTTCCTGTGGGATTGGAAATGTTGTAGTAGAAATTAAGAATGAAAATCTTTGTTTTCTCAAGGTTTTTCTTCTTCTAGCTGGAACAGCAGAAAAACAATTAAAAAAAAAACAGTGAACACAGTTCATTTTCATATAAATATTTATTGCAGAGGAGGTATCTTTTATGTACATGCTATCACAATATAACACAATATAAATCTACCAAATATTCCCATATATTGATGCTATAAGCTTGTCATAGAGCAATAGTTATAACAAGCACATAATACAGTGGGTTAGGGACAGTATCACTCACTATACAACTTGTAACAGTCCATAAAAGATCCATTTTTTTTCTTTTTTTGTTCTATCAAGGGCAGTGAAACATCGGTCCTACTAATTTTTCTTGAATTCATGCAGAAGCCACAAGAGCAAGATTTACGACGTTACAGCATTGAATAGTAGTAGTAGCAATAGTAGTAGTTGTATTTGCCATCGGGTGACTTGGTTTGGTCACAAGAGAAGAGAGAGAAGTCAGGTTTTTAAAAATTAAAAAGAAAGCAGCTAGCCAAACAGAAGTCACCGTGGTCGAGATCCCACCGGTGGACAAACAAAAAGAAAAAGAGCTACGGGACACAGTGTCGTCTATATGTCGAGATGGTACAAGAACAACGGTGTCACACACACACACTACACACCGGGTGAACCGAGAGGAACGCTACAGCACAAGCACACCACCTGAAGTTATGCTATTCAACAACAGAGTAGGTTGATTGTTGATTGTTATGCAAAAAAAAAAAAGAAAAGAAAAAGTGACGTAATCCTTCGTATAATGGCGGGATATTGCACTGTGTAAGTATTTTATAAGACTATTTTAACTATAATTGTGTTTTTCCTTTGTGCTCCCACCCTTCACCGATCTGTAAAATCTCACGGGCCACGTGTGTAAAAGTTAAAAATCAACATCACTGAATAAAAACGTGTAGTGACACATTTCTTTGCTTGAAAATGCTAGAAAATATTGCTTGTACTGGCGCTTTTATTTAAATAAATATATTGAATTTTACCCCAATCACAGCTGCTTCAGAGCCTGTATGAGCTCAGTCTGAGGTCGTGAAGAACATGTGGACTTTTCCTACAAGGACAAAACAAAAAAAAGAGGCTCGATTTAAAAAATATACAGCATATTATTCATCACCCAGGGCAGTAAAATCTAATGCGGCAGTGATTGCGAAAAGACTGGAGTCAGTTTTTACAGAAAAAACAGAAAGAGTTTTTTTTTTTTTTTTTTTGAAACGGTGCTGTTGTCGCACCAGAGGTCAGGAAATCCCAAATAATAGGATCCCGCATCCGCCACCAGGACGCATATGATGGATGACGCCTAACATCCGGTTTCATAAATATCACATAGATCCACCGAGGCGTCACAATCCATCCACGCGCGGCGGCAGTTCTTCTCAGACACTGTTCCTAAAGGAGCTCATAAAGCAGAGGTGATGACAAATCTCACGCTGAAAGGCAAACACTCCACATTTGAAATATCTCAGACTGGGCCCCACCCTCCCCACCGACCCTCCCCACCTACCCACCAGCGCAGCTCAGCGGCAGGGGTAATTTCTCAGTCGGTGGAGGCAGATATAAGACGTGGCGTCTAAATCACGTTTATGGAGTCTAGCTGTAGAGCACGTTAAAACAAAGTCGGATAAGAGCAGCTACAAATATTTGTCACTGGATCGTTTCTGTGCTACAGAAATTTAGAGTGTTTAATCAAATGAGGACTTGGTTAAAATTCTCACTGACGAGCACTGATTTTTTTATTTTATTATTTTTTTTTAATCACAGTTAGTAAGGACTCCTACAGAGCTTGTATATTTTGTCAAGAGGAATTTGACATCAAATACAGATAATTACAATCGGTGACGACACTCAGTGATACCATGTAAATCTCACGAGATACCATAAAGTACTGTAGATGCTATATTGATACATAGTTCTCCTCACACTGCTGCAAATATTGTCAGCTGTTCAACAGGTATTATTTTGAATATAAGTGGGAAATTATTATTTTTTTCTCACTGTAATCCCAGGATGGATAGTGCATGATGAATATTTAGACATTTTGATACAAAACACTGAACAAATCAAAACCTTCAAAAGGTTTAGTCAAATTAGTAATTGATAACCACATTGCTAAGTCTACTTCGAAAGTTATTAGCATAATCGATCAGTTGGGTTTCAGCCTAGTTTGCATTAAACAGGGAAGAACATGCATTATGCTACTTGTGAACTCTCAATTCAAAAAGGAAAAGAAAAAAAAAACAGATGAATTAACAGCAGATTAATACTTATTCTTGAAATATGAGGTTTTTTTTTTTTCCAGTTATGATATCATTGTACTCACCAAAGTAACTGCTTCAACAAAATCTGACAAGAAAAGAAAAATATGATTGGTGTTTAAAACAAAACAAGCCAATATCTTACTGGCTTTATTTAGAGTCTTGTCCCACCCCCCATTGGAGAAACTATCGGCCAATCAGATCTTTAGAGGCGGGATTAAGAATGGGGAGAAGCTTCAGAGTAATGGCCACAAACACATTGATGCAGCTGTAATTGGTGTTGTCAATCAATTAACAGAAATACCAAACTCAGGTCTGAGCATTTAACTTGATGAGTACAATGTCACTGTCACCAATAGAAATAAAAACCCAAGTTGTAATAAACCACAATTATTCTTTTAAAACAGCGATTTCTATCCGCTGATTTTAAACTGAAATCGGTGGCATGTTCATCTTCGACTTTGGTGTTTGAGACAGAGAAGTTTTACTTTAAATCCATGTACACAGACACACACACACACACACACACACACACACACACACACACTTGATGCAAGCCAAACACATAGACCCATGCTGGATTCATAAACAAAGCTGGTGCAAATAATTTTCCCAGTAGCCCGTCAGAATTTCTCTGTCCCTACTCTTTTTTTTTTTTTTTTTTTAAAACAGTGTACACACGAGTCATATTGACACACATTCAAGTTACTGCTGCTGCTCATATGATCTTCACCGCCCTGAATGAGCTTCGGGAAACATGAAAGCAGGAGAGTGAGTGACTCTGGCATTCAGAAAAGAAAAGTAAAACAACATTATATACTCGTCAACACGTTAACTGCCTTCGTTGACAAGCCGGTTATGGTCCGACTACTCTCCACACCTGGCTGTGCATGCTGTTTATATAATTCACCGTCACAAAATGCTGAAGGTGAAGCCACTTGCTTTTACTTCAGACTAATACAAGACAATGCTAGTTAAGTTAGGCACATACAGTACATCTCAGCAGACTTGGAAGCATTTTTAATCTGCCGAGAACTACAATTAAATAGATCTAAACAAAAAAAACGAAAAACAAAAAAAAAAAAACATGTCTAATTTTGGTTGGTGTGGTGTGACATCCTGCGTGATTATCATGCCATGAAGTTGAAAATAAGAAGACGAAATGTACAAGAAGAACAGAGTCTCCCGTCCTCCGTTCTTAATTAATGGGGCTGGCTAAAGTGCTATAGATTGATTTCCCTTCTGTGTCCTTGCCTCTGCGCCAAGCTTTGGACACAAACTAATAAATTAACTTTACCGCCTAAAGACCAACATCCCTCTTTGTAAATGTTCCCTTAATCTTTGGCTTTCACTTCTGTAGTTTAGTTTACTTCTTATTCTTACACAAAACAATATTTTTTATTTCTCCTCTACAACTTTCTAACGTCACGTCGCGTCCTCGTCCCAAGGAGTGATGATGTCGGTGATGCTGAGAACCATGTAACATGAGATAAAAGTCGCTCGTGAAGTGAAAAGGCTGAATCAAAAGTTGCATAATTCGTCTACAATTTATCTTCAGGATTTTCCTGGAATAATCTGGAATGCTCGTCATGACTTTTGTTTAGTTTTTTGTACATTTTACTTATTTTCAAAATAGGTAAAACCGGAACAAAAACCTCGGAAAGGAAGGCAACTTGTGGAATCTGATCAACTTTTCTTCCAAGTCACCGCACTAATAATAGTAAAAGGTAATATTTAACGATTTCAAAGTGGAAAAAAAAGTATACATCAATAACTATAATTGCAGTGGTCCATTAAGGTTTAGTGTCATGCCTTCTTGCTTGATGTGCTATCCTCAAAGTCCCAGGGACAAACATCTGCCTTTTTCACGGCGCTGACAACCCCGCCTTTGGGATTCGGACTGCTCTGTTTCACTGCAGCAGCACTTTTGTCTGTACCTTTCGTATCCGACGTCTCCTGATAATCCCACGGACACACTTCAGCCTGTTTCACTTTGGCTGCTCCAACGTTTGCGCTTTTCCTTTTTTCTACCAACGGCACCTCCTGGTGACCCTCGACATCCCACGGGCAAACATCCGCCATTTTCTGTTGGCTCGCGTGTTTCTCCGAAGATTTGCTCTTGTCCTTAGCTTTTGTTCTACTTTTCTCATCATCAGCGTCTTTTGATTTCTCTGTCTCAAGCGTTCTTGTGGAAAGCGTACCCTTCTTTTTCGAAGGGGACTCCGTGGTTTTGGAACCTCGAGAGGGACTCGGCGTCCTCTCAGAATTCGGAGATACCGCCGCACTGTCGTAGTCCCAGGGACACACATCAGCTTTTGGAGGTGGTAGCTGGAGTGAGGCTCCGATTTTGGATGAATCCGAAAGGGAACTTCTTCCTCTCCCATCCACTGGAGATGTACCTTTTCTCTGCTTTGTCATATCCGGCGAGCGAGCCAACTCTGTTGTCTTTTGAGCCTCTTCGAAGTCCCATGGACAAACGTCTGCCCGCTGGGTTTTGGCGCTTTCTACTGCAGAATGAGGCGGCTGTGTTTTAGCCTGCTGGCTAGCCTGACTGGATACCTGTTGCTTTGACCCTTCCAGTTGACTAGCATTACTCTCACCTGCATCCTCCCACGGACATACGTCAGCTCGAACAGCAGTCGTCTTCTGAATCTCCTTTGAATTCCTTCCACTTGATGGCGACTGATCGGACGCTCTCTGCTTCTGCTGCTGAGATTTGCCTCCCTTGGTGCTTCCTCCGTGAACCGTTGTGGTTTCCTTCGGCGCTATAGATACGTGCTTTTGGACCTTGTTTTCGGACGGAGTCGGGAGATCTTCCACTTCCCAAGGGCACACTTCCGAGAGGTCGTAGAGGTCCTTTCCCTTGACTGGATCGGAGCAGATTGAAGGCTCGCTGCCGCTCACCGGCTGCTTCATGATCCTACCTTTCGCCGCACTCTGTTTGTACTCAACCGACTGGCTAATAATCATCTTGGGTTGGCATTCATTATCCAGCTCTGCACTGGCCCTTGTGTCTTTGCTCTTTGGCTGACTCTTCTTATTGCTGTCCTCTGCACTCTGGGTCTTTCCTGTCAAGCCCAAAGTCCTCTCTTTGGCACTGGCGATGACACTGAGCGACTTCTGCAGCATGGACGCTCTGGGATGAATCGGTTTCTTGTCTGCGGTGAGGTTATGGGCGCTGGCGGACTTGCAGACCAAAGGAACCGATTCTGTAGATTCACTCGGGACATTTATATTCTCACTAGATTTCTTCTTGACCAGCTTCTTGCCCATGAGTGTATCCAGGAGGGAGCCTTCAGCTGTGGTCACCTCCATCTTGTCTGTTGCCGAGCTGTTGGAGTCTTCACTCTGGTCGCGCACGTGGTCGTAGCTACTGTGGGACTTCTTCAGGGAGAAAACCTTGTTCTTCAGCGTCTCCTCCTTTGCCGGTTTTCCTGGGTGAGGCGGGTCGAAAGGGTTTTTCTTCAACATGCAGATGCTGTTACGATTGCTCCCATGTTCCCCGGCCTCCTTGTCTTCGCGGCTGCATTGCCGGTGCACAGATTCGGGAATCTCGGTGATGCGCCTCATTAGCGAGCGACCCAGCCCTTTCTTGGAGCTGCGCTTCTTCTGGAGATGAGGGTTGTTTGCCAGCATCTTCTTCCTCTTGTAAATCTCCAGCTGTGAGTAGAGTTTCTTCAGCTCCTCCTACACAGTCACGACAGAACAGAACGAAGAAGGGAAAGACAAAAACAAAAGTGATCAGTCTCTTGTAGAAACTCCCGTATCGTTACAGGGTAATTGCAGCACTGTTACGAAGAAGCACACATTCTACTGCACAGAGAACATGCAGTACAAATCCATGACACGTGACTACAAACAGCTGTTGAATGATGCACTATGGAATATCACATGCGTGCTGAGAAAATAAAAGCAGACAGGACAGTCCTGGACAGCGTCAAATAAGGAAACGGAGTGTGTTTTAATGTTAGGTCTGAAACAGCCTCTAAGCTCAGGTCTTTAAATTTATTGTATTTCTGTCGCTATCCCCATCCGATACACTGAATGCTCATGATGTCATCATAACACCACTCCCTCTGGTAAATAGGGGTGCCCAAATCTTTTTGGTAGAGAGACTTCTTCAGCTCTAACAGACAAACGGAAATCTCTGCTCACGTTGGTACGTTTTTCCCAAAGACTGTCACAAGATCTTACGCCACAGCCATTAATAGAACTGAGATGGCCCATTTCGTCTGGTGTCTGCAATGAAGAACTGCCATGGCTCAGTATTTTTGGGAGGATTCAAAAAGAAGGTATCACCAGTGTTATACAGTGGAGACGGAAAAGGCAAACGGAAACGCCTCTTACCCGAATGTCCTCGGGGTCCAGACTGTGTTCGCTCCACGCGGACGTTATGCTGCTGTTTAGATACGACCCGGATCGACCCATGTCCAACTCGTCCTCGTAGGCCTCAGAGGCGATGTCATCTCTCATGTGGGTGCCAGCGAACAGGAACTGGTGGAAAGACATAAAAAAAAAAGAAAAAAATAGAAACTGTTTTCAGTTGAGGACTAAAACACATTCTGTGCAATATTAGGTTTTTACAGCAACAGGATAGTGTGTGTGGGATTGACCTTAAATCAACTACGGTGATCTAAAGTTCACACTTAATATCGCACTCTCACTCTCTTTACTTTAAATCAATCTATTTTACTATTTATAAGAGCAATATATACCTTTAAAAATAGTTTATAACAAGCACCATGACACAGTTATAGGCAGATATTAATGTTTATCAATGTATATGTCAACAAATATAATCCTTCTTGTAGGCGTCCATAAGTGGAGGCTGGTGTATTAGTATATAAATATAAATAATATGAAAGATGATGAATGTCAAAAGAGCAAGTCATAGTTGTGGAAATCTAAATTATGTGTTCAAAGAAGAATTTATAATTATTGACCAATATTTTAAATGTTATATATACCCATATATTGGCTTATAACTACATTATTGTGTTTTATAAACATTTATAAAATGTTCTTATAGTACTTAAAGTGCAGTACCAAGAGGAAAAAAAAAATGCATAAATTACAGTGAATTAAAACGAAATGAAATAAAATTTATTTGGAAATATGAATACCACAATCTAATTTAGCATTTGTTTAATTATAGGGTTGTATTTACTAGCATTCTGTCAAAAAAAAAACAAACAAACAAAAAAGAAAATTTAACTTCGCATTTAGGCAAAAGTAGAAAAATGACTTTTACCTTAGGAACGAGCAGCAGACCCAGTGTAACTGTTACAGTTAAGTGTGTGTGGGTGAAGAACAGTAGGAGCATCCAGTCTGGGTGGAGCTCAGGAGCGAGAGTGAACCTGTCAGGGTGCAAGAAAAGAAGAAACTGAATCCACATAGTGCAGATACAAGAGACATCCAGATGTTTTGTTAATAAACACATCCTAAAACCCCCCCCCCCAAAAAAACCCTTATAATGGCTGACTGTCCAATTGCACGTGTGCACACGTTAACTAGTGTTGAGTATGACTAAATGATGTTGTGATATTCTTACTGCAGTCAAACTCTGGCTGAAAACACATTAAGCCTGCTGGTGTCTGTCTCTCTTGGCTCCAATCTGAATCTCAAAGTAGATTTACACACTGTCTTCTTCTGGGCGTCAAGTCCAATGCCTCATATAACCCTCCACTCGAGTGATCCTTTTGCCAGCAAGGACACAATATTTCCCTCATTCTTTCAGTCGGATTCACAATAAAAAGGGAAGTGACCTTGATCTGGTCACAAGATTCAGCCTATTTATACATCAGACAGTAATACGCGGGGCTGGCTGTGGCGCAGCAGTTGGTGGAAAATGAGATAATTACCAACAGAAACAATAGTGGTTTGAAGAGTAGCTCTAGCCTTTTATTCAAAACGAACTAACAGGCTTTCAGCACAGCAAGACCTCGTGCGCACTAAGGATATGAAGGCGAGTCCTGTCAGATGCTAATTCAACCGCTGGAGAGCCTCTATCCAAGCAAATGTCATCTAGCAGGCTCATTACGTCGTTGAAGTTGGCAAATGGCTAATTAACGAACAGTTACTGTGGTAATAGCTTCGAGGCATGAATGACGGCAAAGGTCCAGCACATGAAATGTCCCGAAGCTTTGAAGTCTTCCCTCCTTCATGTTTTGTGAGGAGTTTCTGTGCAGATGAGGATTTAATAACCTTGGCGTGCTGAATCCTCTCAGGCTGCGGCGTCTCGCCATCGCTCATGCAAAGACTCCCAGCGGATACATCCCCTGCATTTTCTCTCGACATCCCCGTTTGCACCTGGACCCGGCTAAAAACCTGACGCCTATCACGGAGAAAGAGGAAGCCTGAGCTTTAACTGGCCACCGTGGGATCAAATAGCAGGTTGTGTGAGTAACACAAATGGACGCCGGATGCCTCTAACAAGCCCCGGTGTACGGCGTGGTCTCTGGTGGCAGCCAGTCAGAATCAACTCGCCACACCAGGCAACTGTCCAATTTATTAGCGGGTCTCGTCTGCAGAGAGAGAGGCCTCACAACAAAGGCTGAAGAGGCCCATTAAAGGAGATGGCAGAGTAATCACAAAGAGCCAGATGTTCAACATACCATCAAAACTGTTAGAAAACTCAGATTTATTCCAAGAAACTATCCGGCTATACGTCGACGATAAGCAATTTATTGGCAATGGATGTTAATTTATAACTGGAATATGGCTGCCAATAATTCTAGCTGTTTATGCGGTCTTGAAAAATACATAAATCATTCTGACATACTTCATTAGTAAATAATGTGATGGAGCTGAGCTCTCATTTAAGTGGGGGACTCCTGCTAGGAATGGCTGTGGCGGTGTCAGCTGAAACGTCTCATTTATAAACTGCACGGTGCAGCTATTTGACATGAACACAGGAGGGAGAGGGCGGATTTCACTACACACTCCCAGATGAACAGAGGGGTTGAGCATCACGCTCGAGCCTGTATGTGATGCAAATGAGACAATCTAGCAGAGGACATAAACGTCAGAGTGACAACAGCGAGAAGAGACGGCGATATTAAACATGAAGCTGGTGAATGTGACAGCATCTTTATATTTTTATTACTTTATTTGACAGGGACAGCGCATATTATTAACATCTGTATGTTGAGGAGGACAGATCTGTTGGTAATTACGTTTTATCTTCCTTAGAGCAGGTGGATGTGGAGGTTACTGCACCAGGTCTATTGAGATATTGCCAGGAAGCAACTTACACAAAACAGCCTCCCTAGTGATATCTAAATGTTTGTTTTTCTCTCTTATATATTTGTCTCCACATCAAAACTCAAAATCAAGCAAAATTGATGAAAATTATTAAAAACAAAACATTATATTAACAAAACCAGAACCACAAATGAAATTCAATTCACTTGCAGCAGAGATTTCAAACATCAGGGACAAACTTTAACACCCTAACAAGCCTCACTAACACTTCTTTACTTGATCTCCTTGCACTTATTAAATAGATGTAGTACTTATGCAACGCTTTAGTAATATCCATCACTTGTAAGTCACTTAGGATAAAAAGCGCCTGCCACATGAGTAAATGTAAATATAAATGTAAATGTACCAGTTTGTAATTTCAGACGAACCAGCCCTTTAACTCACGTGTCATTTTAATTCACATACGCCCCCCTGAGGAGTCCAGATGTCTGTGGGGGCAGGAGGTGTTACCTGATGACGTAGAATATCGCCGTCAGGACGAGCTCGTTGTGAACAGCGATGGCCATGTAGCGAGGCTCGTGGAACGCCGACGGCACCGTCCTCACAGCGTAGCACAGGTACACCGCCCACAGCAGGAAGAGGAACTCAGCTGTGAAGCAAGGATGAGAGAGAAGTGGTGAACAACACACACACACACACACACACACGGGCCAAGAAAATCATTTCGATGCGGTGCACACAGGCTTTTCAGGCCCCCACCAACCAGCCACTTCACAGTTCAATGCTCTCATGGAGCTGGGGCAAATACAGGTTTGCAGGAAAATGCCCCCCCCGCTCACACAAAAGCTATCAAACTCATTCGTAACAGCTGCGGTTGTATTCTCCGGACAATAGATGAATCCCTGTGCACCGCCATGGCAACCCCATGTGACGTCTCCCAGGTAGCCGGCTCCACAGCAATAAACATGCTGCTTCTTTTTTTTTCCTCCAATGAAAAACCTGTTGCCAGTATTTTGACATTTATGGTGTCGTGTGCTTGAACTGTGGAGCCGTCGGGTCTCAGTGAATCACACGTGCTGCTCACACTGGGTACAACAATGAGCATCAGACGCAAGTGGCCATTAACAGAAGAGTTTGTTTTTTTTTAATGTGGATATCACAATATGTAAAATGAAGGAAAAAAAATCTGCATCGAGAAAATTCTTAAATATTCTTATGTTGAAAATCTGAAATCTATTAATGTGTAATAAATAATTCTTATGTCCTTATTCACATCTGGAAATTTTAATGTCAGCTTCACATTTAACAGATGACTTCTGCTGATGACTCAATGTGAAACCTCTTATTAATTAATAAGAGGAAAGAGGATGATGAAGACCAGCCAATGTAATTCTTTTACAACACTACAACCCCACCGTTCTTCTTACTGCTCTTACTGAAGGCTTACTCATCTATAAAGCATTAGTAAACAATACAGTCATTAAAATGAGTTGACCAAAAAAATAAGCTGTTAACAGAAATATGATTAAGTCTAATGTAATATTCTAGATTAAATGAACAGTTTTGTTGAGGCATTAGTAGAAGAACAATTAATCTTTATTAGTTTCAAACTGTGCTTTCACATGTTGTTTTTTTGAAGACAGTAAAATGTTTCACAATCAGAGACCTGACCGAGTGTGTGCAGGTGTGGATTGTTAAAGCCGAAAGATTTATTGCATCGTGAAAGTGCGCGTTAAATTTATGACCTGTGCGCAAGGTGACGTCAGAGCCGACCCACGTATCCCTATTACCAACCTATTTTTACTTCCTAATGAACAGAGAGAAAATCTGGCCTCAGCATACAGTATCGCAGCACGGCGGCTCGGCCGGGGGTCCATCTGTTTTCCCAGAAGTCAGAAATGGCCGCGCTTTCTCTCTCATGAAGTCTGAGTCAGCAGGCGTAAAAGCAGCATGCAGATTTCCTCAACGCCGAGATGCGGCTCCCCTCCAAGCGTCTTTGATTTCCTCATCCGTCTTTATCTGCCGCTGGTTGCCCTCTCCGCCACGCACAACACAGGAAAACGTCCAAAAGTGTAGCACCGGTGGAGAGGATTAATGTCTTCTTTTGGGAAACATGAGAACATTGCCAAATGTGGATGGAGGCAAACTGTCTTACTCATCCAACTTCTCCTCATCACTCACTCTTCCTCACTCGCTTTGAACTCCAAATGTATCACGCCAGACAAATCACTCTTGATTTTATGCCATGAATACCTCAAATAACCCTTGTTTTCTCACTGAGGTGCACACACAGACTGCAGCGTATATTGATCTAATCACAACACCCTATGGAGGCAGAGGGAAGCTACGGGGGCTTACCAACAGCCATCATGTAGTCCCAGCGATCCAGCAGGCAAATGCTGAACTGCAGCCCGTCGGGCGTGTAGCCCACGTCGATGAGAGCCGACTTCCTGTCCGGGTTCTGACAGACGGCAGATGTCCACGCCACCAGGAACCAGCACACGATGAGCAGGATGATGCCCAGCAGACGCAGCACTCTCCAGCTGGTCATGTAGGGGATCCTCTGGGCTGTCCGGGAGAGGAACACCTTCAGCACCCTGCGGGGCACAGAAGAGAAACTACACTGTCGACGTTGTGGATTATGGCATTTTAAAGAAAAACTGTCAGAACAGGATTCATGAGAGGGAAATCTCACCCTTGCTTTGTCTTGCATTGTTAAGGATCATCAATGATGCAACCTGCCTTGATTGCACTTAAAAGATTTTTTCCCCTCTAACCTTAAAGAAGTTCTTTCTTTCAACCTGGCTAAACCAAACCAAATAATACGGTACGCCCGCGGACAGGTCGTAGGGTAAAGGGACAAGCGACCTACACGAGTGATAACAGGCACTGGAGAGAAAGAGGAAATCTATTTTAAGAGCTCTTACTAAAACACAACAGATACAGATACAGAAACTGCCATCTTTGATGTCTAACCACATTATTGTAGAACATCAGTATGAAAATGGTGAATCTGCAGCGGGATTGTTCTGTGATCGTGAGGGTCTGACACCGAAACGTTGAGACTGTTCCCACCAGAAAAACAGCAGCAGCTTCGGTCACATTTGCAGAGACTTAAAAAGATCTATCTTTATGTTTTTCAGACAAGGAGCTTTTGTGGTTGTGCAAATAATGACTTCTGTCTCCGAGAAGCAAAAGGAGGAAGTAGTTCGTCATTGTTATCGGCGCTGACTAACTTCTAAAAGAGCAGTTTGCAAAAGAACGTAAGTTTTTGAGTCTGGATGTTTGTTTTTTCTTTCAGTCTTTGTAATGCAACGCAGCAGAACAGTTCAACTATCAAATGCATCGTAGTTTACAGCGGTTACTCTTCGCTCTTCTGTGTGACACAGCTATTCTTAGGCTCTGCCCTTCACGCACATTGATGAAGTGTCCACTGCGCTCCCCACTAATGAGCCCCCACCCCCCACCCCCACCCCCCCATCAAAAATTGATCTGAGCAATATGTTAACTCGCACCTCTGAGGGTTTACTCGGCTCTCGCTCGCATTAACCACATCCTCTTAATCAGCATCTTCATTAGGCCTTTTTTTTTTTTTTTTGACAGATTCACCTGACAAAAAGACCCACAGATGAACAATTTCAAGCGCATTACTTTAAATACAGCAAACCCGCTGTCTCATTATCGGCTATTCAGTGCAGGATAAGCCCCCCCCCCCCCCCCCTCATACGCCCCACTGTATCCTGCGGCGGTCCCTTCCCTTCCTCTGCTCTCACACATTCGTCTCCTGGTTTGTCTCTTGCCAACCATGATTACTACGTTATATATGCAGATCATTCGGGGGCAAAGCAACCTGTGTGGCACTGTGTGTGTACAGAGCTTCCGGCGTAGGTCACCTAGGGCGCCACCAGCTGGTTGGGGGGGGGGGGGGGGGAGGGGGTGGCGCCAATCAGAGGAAGAAATATGTTGTAATTTGCTCCTGATCTACTTTTAAAAGTCTGTCACTGCTCGCACTGCAATAACCACACAGTGAGTAAGAATCACGCGAGTAACCAGGTAACTCATGTTCCATGCAAACATTACATGACATGGTACACGCCAGAATAAACCACGGGACACGGATAATCCTGTACGTGTGCAGGTGTGTCCTCAGAGTTGGTAGGTGTGTGTATTACCTGTACAACTTGAGAGTCAGTGTCCCGTAGACAGTAGCGAAACCCAGCATTCGGACCCATCGCAGCAGGATGCATCGGAAAACACTCGGCTGGAAATAAAGAATCCCGACCTGCAAGAGGACAGGAAAAGCTTTAAATAACAAGGTGGTGTAAATACGGAAAGCAAACATAAGTCAGAGAGACGCCCAACTGAGAGCGTTTTCCATCTGGACGACAACGGGCCGCTCCATCATTTGGAAATTTAAAACAAAGTCATGGGAAGTCGCTGCTGGATCGTGCAGTTATGTACAATTCTCTTATATTATGTTAGCTTGCTGAGAGGGTTCATGCTGTTTAATTCACTGTATGTCCAATCACTTATTAACTCACTCCGTCTTCAGATACCTGCTTCTGTTTTTTTCACTCTCTTCCTCAAAACCTACTTAAAAAGTTGTTTTCCACTGATTTCATCAGTGTGTCCCACTTCCTGTTCCTGTAGTCTCGAAATATCAGTTTGACTAAAGTCCCAACTCACTGTCTTCTGGAGCTTTCAGCTGCATCACACTGTCCTCACTAGCTGGATGGTTACAATTTCCTCCTTAACACTGTGTTCTGTCAGGCTGCGGTTTCTTAAAGAGAAACTCCTCTCGACTTTACTCCTCTTGCTGTAAATACATCGCCTGTGTGCAGCCACTGCTGTGATGTCCTCACGAGTCATACGAGTAAACAAGTCCTTAATGAAATGTGCAGTCGGTGCATAATACAGCAGTTAAGCATGAGAAACACTGGCATGTGCTGTGTGTGATGTCTCAGATGTAATGGAAGAAACACTAATGAGATACCAGTGCAGCCATGACTATACCATCACTAACATTAATGGCGGCTGAGCCACTTTCTAAAGGAATTTAATACCTGAGGAAATTCATGAATTGCATTGGCCATTATAGTTAAAACAAGATATGATAGAAGTGCAGTGACATTTCATTACCATCCTTGGCGTTACTAAAAAAAAAAGCAACTCCATCTGACGCTGCTAACATCACAGAAAGCTTGCCCTTGAGACAAGGAGGAGGGCATCCGCCCGTGTTTGCTACAAAGACCTAGAAACACACTGAGATGTTGCCCGTCCATACCGACAAAAAAACAAAAAACAAAACAGACAAAAAACACTGATCGTCTTCCAAAGACATAAAAAGCGCCAAAACAAACACAAAAAAAGAGAAAGAAACAAACATCTGAGGCAACATAATTATCTGTCCGTTGCAGATGTGCAGCGATTTCCCCTGTGGGATTGTTAATGTTAATCGGATTAGCCGAGGCATTAATACGTTCCCTCAGGCAGCGGCGAAGACGCAGGCATGTGGATATTTTTGCTCACTAGGTTCGAGTCAGTTAAGGGACACGGAGGACCCCATGGGAGACAGGGTGGCCCACATCCTCGTGTCTGCTGGAAGACGCCCGGCCGACCAAACACAGAAGAAAAAAAACAACAACTTCTGACTCAAACAAAGCTTGCTCCAGTTGATTCAGCTTTGCAAAGGGGAATGTGGTACAGCAGCAAATAACGGAAAGATGAGCGCTCAGTTGTTAATCTTAAATGCACACAGGGTGTTTTTTTTTCTTCATCTCTTCGCAGGATGGAGGAGCCTCTGAAAGCCTCGTTTCAGACCGTGCAGGAACAACAAAACTCGCCTCAAGCAGAGAGGTTAAAGAAAATATCTAAATAACAATGTGTGGCTGCTCCTCAGTGTATTCATTCTTTTTTTTTTTTTTACAAAATAGAGAGAGGAGGCGATAAAGAGATAGCAGGCCGGGCAGGCGCTGAGCAACTTGCTGACGCACATTTGGGTCCACGGGGACAGAAGAGGGCACAGGAAGACGAGTAAAAACGCACCAGGGAAAAACACAGCTCATGACTCCTTTTTAGATAAACTACAAAATAGCAGCTGGATCTCCGTCACGTGCCAGTTTAAAGCTGGTGTGTTGTTTTGTGAGGAGACAGAAACAGGGAGGGTGTTGTCCCCTCGAGGCCCAGTCCCAAACGATGCGAATGATGTCTCACGGAAAAAGTTTTCAACACGTTCACCAGTTTAGGCACTGAAGGTACCATACCCCAAAAAACACAACCTGTCCCCGGTAACTAGGAAGTACACACCTGCCTCTGACTGGCATTTCTGTCACCTGTCCTGAGAAATAAACCTGCATGGTGGTAAAACAGCCACTAAAGAAGCTCAAGTTCTAGTTCCAGTAACACAAAACCAACAATGTGCTCGCCCTGCACTCTCTGCTCTCCCCAGCTCATCTGATACAATAAGGTAAATTCCCATCCCTCCCTTTGTCCTCACTGATGCTCAAAGCAATGTCAATACTTTATACTTTATTACTTCATTTATATTTTAGTGCATTTATCATTGTCCTCAAACACTGCTACGACCCTCAGACCACGTGATGCTGAGGTAAAATTCATTAGCCACTCGCTCTGGCGCTGCACTTTCTATCGGGTTGGTTTCTGGGAAAAGTCTGGCCCTGACCCTCCGTCAGGTTTCTCTTAACGCCAGCGTGCATAAAAAGTAAGATCAGTTTCTACCCCTCCTCCCCTCCTTCTCTTTTGAAACCTTCCATTAATAATCAATGCTAAGTGCTGGGAATCTAGGGTTCAGCGCTGTGGGAAAGGAAAAGGATCGGGTGTTATTCTCGTACGTGTGTGTGTGTGTGTGTGTGTGTGTTGACGTGCATCCAAGAGTGTGCAGGAGTGCCCGTGAAGGGATTGAGAGGATCAGGGTGCTGCGTACCTCTCTAATGGACATCAATATCCAGGAGACAATTATCAACACACTTACTACTCTTCAGCCTGCCTCTCTCCCCCGTTTGTCTCGTCTCAGTTACAGCATGAGTAAAGGCTTCTGGAAATGCTGAGTGAGCGCTGCTCGCAACCTACCACCATTTAAAACTTGATGATTATTCAGGGTTTCAACAACATCAGAACAGTGGGATTTACATGTAGGAATGTTATTTTTTATTCTCAAATTTCAAGTGTCTCCAATACAAATTAAACAAACCACACATGACGTGTTCATTACAGAGCTTTGTAGGTGCTGGCAGGTGGAATTTAACACCTCTGGACAGTTAAGATAAGCTAAGCTAAGCTAACTGGCTGCAGCTTTACATTTACCACGGAGGCATGAACGCTTATGGATCATGAACAACTGGTTCTCTCTGGAAGTTCTAGTTGATGTTTTCTTTGATTTGAGTCGCCATTTTCTTAACGATGCGCACGGACTGCTGCAGGAGAGACATTAACCTGACAGCAGATGCTATAACACACACACATCAGAGGCTTCAGTAATGCTCTCATGAAGAGCGACTTGTAGGACAGTGACGAAGAAGGTGGGTGAAGGTGAAGTGTTTTGTTTGTGGACAACGACGGGACGCGACGGCTGCTGACGGGAACATCAGCTCCTCTCAGTCAAGTCAGGACACGTCACAGAACAGCTTGACTGAGAACAGCAACAGGTGTCCCGACAGGTTTACGTCTTTAACATGCAGGATCCAACGTTTTAGGATATCTAACGGTGATCAATGTTCTGCTGAAATAAGGAGTCAAAAAAAACAAAACAAAACAACAACAGACAAACACCCACTTACACGTTCAATCAACACTCGGTCACTTAATTTGCAGTTATCTTTCATTCCTAATCATCTCTCATTTCAGTGCCCACCAGCTGGCTCCACACACACACACACACACACGCACGCATGCACGTACGCACACACACACACAGCGTCAGTGGGCTGGTTACCCGCGAGAGAGTGTGTCCCTGTTGGTGCGACGCTGACGAAAGCCAGCCAGCTGTGGTGCGAGCAGCAGCTTTCCTGAGAGCTGTTCTGATGTTGGCTGCCTCTGAAGCTGTGTTTTTAATTTGGTTTTCAGTTATCTGATTATTTTGTCCCTTTGCAAAGGATTGTGGACAGTCTCCGCCCCTTATTGTTCCTTTTATACTGCAAAAAAAAAAAACTACTAAGGAGACAGAGAAGGGTTCGAGAGTAAGTGTGAAGTCAGCTGCTATGTTGTTTCACACTAAACTGACTTGTTTTGTTGCATGGTTACTACTTACAACTTTATTTAGTCGACCATAATTTAAAAACATTTTTGCCGAGAATTATGTTTCATTTGGAGAAAGAAAGAGACGTATAAGTTTTATTAAAAAAGATAAAAGACAACCTGTTATCATATTAACAAGCTAGCATCATCGCTCACTGCTATCAATAACATTTTACTGAGGTAAAGCTGGTTGTACCACACATAAGTATGGTCATAAATAACGACAATATCAACAAGCAAACACTTGTAGCACCATAGAGCAATGTTATATTATAATAATAATGCAGGTTTCAAAATTTTCAAAGATGTAAAAAAAAAAAAATAACTCAAATAAAAAATATTTTATGAAGGAGGGAAATAGATTCAGCACTTTTCTCAGGCCTCAAGGAAGCACAAAATGCCTTTTAGTGAGTATAAACACTGAATGTGAATTTTGTTTGTTTACAAAAAAAAACTCCCGAGGGCACCTTTAAAGTTTCTCAGAGAAGAAATTCCCACATGAGAAAAAGCAGCATAAAATCAAACACGTATTGATGTGTTTTAGTAATAACGATTACTGCGAAGCATGATAACTGACTGCGCCTGCCAGCTTCCTAATAAATGACGAATTTTTCCACAATCAGCGCGTGACACTTTCCTGACGAGCAGCTCAACGGTTTTTGTTTTGTGTTTGTTTTGCACTTGACTCATGTGAGATCAGCAACAGTCAAGGTCGAGATTTTTCAGGTTTTTGACGCACGCCGGCGGTTTCTTCAGACAATGGGCCGACAAAACGACCGAGATAAACGACCTTAACTGGAGTACGACGAAATGTAAACACAGCCGGCGTTAGTGCCTCAAACTTCAAAGTAACAAAAACCCAAACTCTGCCGCCTTCGAGTCCCCAAAGGCTTCATGTGAGGACGATAATACACCCACGACCAAAGTACGACGCCCATCCGGATGCTCCACAGAGCACACACAAATCATTTTGTGCTAGACTGCTTTAGATAATTAGCTCTCGCTCCAGGGCAAACAGGAGATATTCAA